CCGACAACCCGTCCATGGTGAAGACGAGGGGGACAAGACGAAAGGGGGGAGGGGGAGTATGTCCCGCTGTCGGAGATTGAAGTCACCACCGTCGCCAGCACTTTCTCAGATCGAAGTTGCCGCCGCCACTGGTGCCAAGAACCGATGGGTTTGTCCTAGCTGCGAAGGTGAGCGAGTAAATGAGGGGGCAAGGGGTTATGCTAGATTGCTAGTAAATGAGGGGGCAAGGGGTTATGCTAGATTTCACGCCATCCACGTTCACAGATATTTCGGTCTCCCGACATCTCCACGCTCATTCCTTGGTGCACCGCCATGTGCATCGTGCCCCCTTTTACTCTCAACTCAGCCTGGCTCTGAGCTGCTTTAAGATTCGTGTGTGGACGCTATCAACGCGTTTTTCATGCATCCCGATACAACCTACCACACGCCTCTCTACATTACCGCCGCTGTTCAAATGCCGATGCCGTCCGTCGTTGTCGACCGAGAACGACCGCCCGTACACGTACGGAGCGGGAATGGCGTGGCTCGTACTACTGCTCGCTAGTACAAGACCGACGCCGTGCACGACCATACTACTTAGCTTGTGCCTTTTTTTTTTGAATGCCACTTAGCTTGGGTCTTAATTCATGCGCACTCACATTTGATGATGATTCTTCGTACTCACGCGACCAGTACAGTACTCCTACTAGATGCCTCTAAACAAAAGGGTCAAAACAAAAAAAGAAAAACACAAAAGGGCGAGCCTGGAACACACACACACGGAGGGCCCACACACACACTCACACTCGGTTAAAGCTGACTTTCTACCTCCGCTCCAAAAAAGGGTCTCCGGAGCCAGAAACGGCCTAAACGAAAGCACACGCGACGGACGCCACCCGGCCAGCGGCCGCCGCTCATCGCTCCCTCCGCCCGCGGCGCGAGAGCCGGCCCGACCCCCCGCGACCCGGACGCCGCCGCTGGAGGCGACCAGCTGCCAGGGAGCGCGGCCGGCCCGGTCTCCCCGCGCGGCGGCGGCGGACGGACGACGAGTGTTCCTTCCTCTGTTTCTTGGCTGACGGCAGAGGAGAGGAGAGGGGCGGCGATGTGGGGTGCCAAGGGGGAGGAGAAGGCCGGCGGCGCCTGCGAGGAATGGAGCTACCAGCTGGGGAACAAGGTGAGATTCGTACAATCTCTCGTATGGATCCCTCTGGGCGAATGCTCTCCGCCTTCCTTCGATTGAGGCAGGGATTCTTTTGGGTGGCGTTGTTTTCCCTGCGAGTTCGTTCCGGGCGTCATCTCAGCTGCCCCTTCCGGCGCAGCTCATCCGGTTTGGTGGTTGATGCTTCTTTCATCGCTTTCCTTCCACGCCGCGCCTCCAAACTTCAAACACGGCGGATCTCGTCTCGTCAGCTCCGAAATCCAAAAGAGATGTTGCGCCGGGCGATGCGGCCAGATCCAGAATCCAAAATACTTTTTCCATTCTCCTCCTTTTTGTTTACTTAGTGGAGTGCAGCACTACAGTACTACTTCACATAGTATAACACTTAGCTTTTTCTCCGACATTCCGTTTCTTCTTTTTGGTCCAAGTTTTCTTACTAGTACAGTAGTATAGTACATCTTGTTCCATTCAATACAGTTATGGAGCGTACTTGATCCGAACGTTTTTGTTGGTGAAGAAGTTAGGAGGTCTGTAGTACTTCTCTTGTTTAATTTCCGTATTCATTGCACAGGTTAGGAGTAGTTCGGCTGGCTGAACTAGGTACTAGCGTTTATTTTGCTATCCATGGCTGCCCATTCCTACTTTTAGGTCTGATCTGATTGTTCTTTGGGATTCTTTTTTTGTTTGGAAAACTGCGTGCTCTGATGTTGCTGCTTGTTTTCCACTCCTAAATTTTAGTAGCTCACTGCATTTTCTATTTCGATAGTGAACTCTTTTTTCTTAGATTAATCTTCAGTGTAGTAACGCAGTTTCAGGAACATTCAAGAGCACACAGCAAAGGCGATCTTTGCTTCCTTGTTATATTGTTCCATTATTGTTGGCGAAGGAACGCAATCATAGACAGTACATGGACCATTTAACCTCAACACAAGCGGGCTGAAGGACAAAGCTCAAGACCTGATAGTACATTGAGTGATCTAGTAAAGTTTGTTTAAAACCGTTTTACAGCCAGGTGTAATCGAATCACAGACTCTCTGTCCCTGAAATTAGCACAGTTACCGATCCTTGTCAATCTCGGCGAGTCGACCCTGGTATGCGAATTGCGAAACAAGTTTTACTCCTATAAGGGCCGGATTGACCGGGTCAGGAAGTACACCCTGCTAGTTTCAGGAATTGGGAGTTCAGGTTTAAAACAGATTTTACTCTAGTAGATTTTGTTCAGTTTTTTATCAAGCCTAAATTAATGTTCTCCGAGGTCATCATTTTTGTTTATTGTGACTATATTCCTTATTCCTCTGAAGGATAGAGTTAAGGATAGTTTAATTTGTTTAAAACTTGGGCTGATTGCAACTTATTTACAGGATACGCTGAGTTTGAAACCTCCAAAGAAGTCACCCCTCGCGTTGAGAATGGTTGTTCTCACCATGACTATGATCTGTGGGGTGTTTATTTGCTCAATGTGTATGAAGCAACTAGGAAGCGACAGCTGGTCAAGGATAGTGAAGATTCAAGTTGCAGAACAGTCCTGCAATAAGTCTTTAATTCCTCCTTCTGAGGTTCAGTTTGTGCATTATCCACAACCACTAAATTACAGCAGGTGATATTTGTGCTAAAGCTCATTTGAGCTATCTACATTTGGCTTGCATAATGATGTCTGATGGTAATTTTATTTTGTAGGAAAGAATGCATCTGTACCCCTGTCCGCTTCTTTGCAATTATCTCATCGCAGCGGTCTGGAAGCGGCTGGTTCGAAACCCTTCTAAACAGTCACATAAATGTTAGCTCTAATGGAGAAATCTTCTCGAAGAAAGAAAGGAGGAGTAATGTTTCATCTATAATAAAGACAATGGACATGGTGTATAACTTGGATTGGAATAGTAGTGCTTCCAAGAATGAGTGCACTGCTGCTGCTGGCTTCAAATGGATGCTTAATCAGGTGATGATTTTGATCAGTTCTTTTTTTTGCTTCATTCTTTTTATTTGTAGGCATCATTATGAGATTGCTGTTAAAACAATATACAGATGTTTTTAGAGCTGTTTAGGGTATTCATGTTAAAAGCAATATACCTAGTACGATCTGCTTGCTGGTTAAAGAACTGTCCCTTGCATTCCGTGAATGCTCTGTTATGTGCACATTGCACATATCGGTTTTCTTCCTGGTATTGCATCCTGTTCCTCTTCTCACGGAATCAGGATATATTAACCTTGAATATCGTTAGCGTAGGTCTCCCTGAGTAATTTTGCGAAGTGTACTAAAATCTTTTCTATACAAAAGACAATTGTGATACTAGTTTCTCTTTATTTGTTTCCACTACTCCATAATTACCTTAATGGAGCATATCGAATTACATTTTATTTTTGGACAGTTTATAATCCTATGCATGGCTACATTTCTATTTGCACTGACTAGATCTTGGCAATGCTTATATTGTCCTGTATAGTCCATTTCTTGTATGACTTTGTTAATTTAAATATTGGTCCTCTTTTGTGTGGAACTCTGGATGAGGTCTCACAATTCTGATTTTTTTAAATATAGAATATTTTATGTCTAATTGATTGCAATTGTGATGCTGGTATCTTCAGAATGATAAGAGGGGGCATCAAGATTGCTATCATTTGTTGATAGCATTTTGATTGTCTGTTCACCTCCTGAAGATATCAGCATTATGGGAATTGGTGTCTATCTAGATCCTCCATGCAAAAATTTCCGACTGCTGTTATCTGAAATTTTTAAGTGGTATGAATATGTACATTCTTATGATCTCCGCGGTATCTAATTTCCTTCAAGACTTCAACATAACAGTCCAATTAGTGTTTTTGGGTAGACTGTTAAATTTTGAGTCATGCACACAGCTTACCCCTTAGGCAGAATAAGCATTCTTCTGACAATATATGCCTTCAGGGTCTCGTGGCAAATCACGCTGCTGTGGTTGATTACTTCAACCAAAGAGGAGTGTCTGTGATATTTCTGTTCAGAAGGAATCTCCTCCGTCAGATGGTATCGCAACTAGCAAACAATCATGACAGATACCTTAAGCAATTAAAAGGAAAACACAAGGCCCATGTGCACACAAAAGATGAGGTGGTTCTTGATAGCATATCTTTCAACTCCCACTTGCAAATTTTTGCAGTTTGTGAGTGAAGATGTTTCTTTTATTTTGCAGGCGAATATACTTGCAAAATACAAGCCCAGGCTCAACACAACAACATTATTGTGGAGTCTGAAACAGGCAGATGATTACACTTGCAAAGCTCTTGAAAACCTAAAGAGCGTCCGTCACATTACATTGTACTATGAGGATCTCATCCAAAACAGAACTGTGAGTTACTCTTGACTAATCTGTTGCATGTCGGCATATGATGCTGTTGTTGCTTATTCGTACCACATTGACTTGTACTTGCAGATGCTTGTTGAGGTGCTGGATTTCCTCAAAGTGCCAGCGAGGAAACTAGTCAGCCGGCATGTGAAGATACACACGAAACCACTGTCGGATCAAATTGAAAACTGGGATGAAGTCTATAATGCCCTGAATGGCACCAAGTTTGAAAGTTTCTTGAATGCTGACTACCGAACATGACATTATTCTGTCTGCACGTTTCTTGTTTAATATTGGTTCCTGTGTGTTTCTTTCTTTCTTTCTTTCTTTATTTAGTTCTTTCTTTCTTATTAAAAAGCTAGCCTAGGATGTGTCCGGAAAAAGTTTTGACATGGGGAATGGCGGGGTTTGCACGGTGGTTCACAAATCGCAAGTTCTTTGATAGGTTCCACTAATTGTCTTGCTTGTTCTTTTCATATATTTTTTTCTTCGAAACTGATCAACGAGCTTCTAACCTCTTGCATTCCACTGCTTATTATCACTTCTGCAGTCTTGCACAGAGTTTTTTTTTTTACGATTCTCCCTTGCATGGATGGATATCTCTAGCAGGTTCACATTAGGGAGGTTTTTGACGCTGATTCGTCTCTTTTCGACTTTTCCCATGTTAATTTAGACATGCTGAAATCTAAGTGAGCCGCTTCACTAAGTCCACTTCTGAGAAATACAATGCAAGTACAAATCATTCAAAAGAGGAAGTACAAGTACAATGTAGGCCTGAATATTCCAGTGTAAATAAGGCACACATGGTGTCAGATTAGGTGTTTGATCCCTGTTGTGCTGGGCTGGAGGTACAGCAAGCTCCTAACCGTTGGACCCTGATATCCAACCAACGACTGGTTCTTGATATTTAGGACATGTTTGGTTCATGACTAATTTGCTACAACTAATCTTAGGCTAAACTGTGGCCGCCACAAAAAGCATGGTGAACAAAATGGCCACAAAAAGCATGGTGTATCTTGTTGTATGTAAAGGAGTTCTTATTTAGTTGGTTTCAAGATCATACTACTTGCATTTTAACATTGTAGCCTATCCGTGGCATGAACTAACTACAACCATATTTTTTTCACACACACACAGACCAATGATCTAACCGCTCTTATATTTCTTTACGGAGCAAGTATTTAACAATGTTCATACTGAAAGTATCAATACATTTTCATCAAAATATATTTCGGACATACGTTAAGGAAGTTCCTAACAACAGAAGTGTTCAGAATCCATTTATCCTTGGTACTGCAAAATGCACGCAGTATCCAGGTTGCAAGGCTCCTTGTTGAATGAAATGTGTTCATACTGCACGTCTTAGATAAGATACACCAGAAGAAATGGAAGTAGCTTAGAGCATCTACGGCCATGATGGGCAAATCCGCCCCCCTCAAATGCGGCGCGTCTGCGCCTCCGTGGAGACTGGCCGCTCACGCCTCAAATAATGCAATCCACGTCCGGACACCTCAATTATCATATCTTAAATTCATACAAACTCATGCAACTACGTCGATGCATATTACACACATCGTTCGGCTACTCCAACACTACTAACAATGCCATCGGACTATTAAAATTTGGCATGTTTGGTTATGGTGGAGATCATCCACAACTGTCCTTGTCCTTCCGGGCGCTCTTGCCGTCCACTAGTCGAAGACACGGTAAGGATCAAGCAGGATCTGCTCGTCACCGGAGCTGTCCTCGCCGTCGTTGTCCTCCTCCTCCTTCGGTGGCAGTCTGGCCATGGCACAGACCGCCCGATTCTGCTCTCGGGCGAGGGTGCATGTGTTCCTCCGCTGTCGTTTCTTCATAATACGGGTGCTGATGGCTTTCTCCTCTGTGGCCGCCCACGCCGCCGCATCAGCCGCCTCCGCTGCCACCATTTCTGCCGCAATATGGGCCTTGGCGGCCCTTATCCTCTCCTTCCCACGGCGGGCCGCCCGTTACCCGTGGGACTTATGGTCTGCCCGACCGTTGATGGGGAAGGAGAGATTTTCCGATTGTCGGGATCACGATGATCCAGCCCCAGAGGACCCGAGCACCCATTGAGCCGATGCTATGGAGTCGCGCCGAATAGATGCGTCTGTCGGCCTAGCGTTGTCCTCCTAGGAGCAGTAAGTGCAATGCGTACCGTCATTGCCTCCTCCAACCCGCACAGGATGACACCCCAGTCGACGGATCCGGACTGGTCGGAGTCAGATCCATTGCCTGCCATGCCGAAGACAGCCGGAAATCACTGGAGGTGAGCTCGGGTGGCGGAGGGAGTGGAGGGAGAGGAGTGTGAAGTGGCTAGGATTTGATCTGATGAGGACGGATATATGTGGGGTCAGATGGGCCGGGTCCGCCGTGGCGGACGCCCCCGGACGCCCCCTATCCGCCTCATATTTGTGCTGAATATGAAGGGTATCGGTCAGCCCTGGCCCGTTTGAGGCGTCCGTCTGAATCGAATTTTCGTGATTGGTCAGCACTCGAGCGGGCCGCCCAACCATTCGAGGGTTTGAGGCGCTCGACTGGCTTCTAACATACAACAATTCGCTCAGAGAATAAGAAATGTCGGATGATATCAGGTGGGCAAGAGAACATCGGGACAACCCGGAAACTTCTCAAAAGAGTACACACGGTTTTGCATCCCCTCTGTATCTGAGGAAAACATTCGTCTGACCAGTATTGTAGAAGACTGTCATTTGTGTATTATTTATACTAAGTGACCCTTCTGAAAACTTAATCTACTAATCTCTTAAAAAAGAACTAATTTTTGAATCTGGCTCTAGTATATGTGTCGAACCGTTTGACTACACTCATACACGCATTGTAGCCAAATCGTTCTGACTACAATAAATGTATGGGTCACTCCAAACGGTATGACTACACGCACACATTTATACAATAAGTCGTCTTGTAGTAGCGCCAAATCGTTCGAATATTGCCATCTTAGCATGGGCACATTAAGCCCGATTTTTTGAAGGTCAAAAATAAAGATTTTTTACGGCTTGAGCATACATGTATAGTAGTGCAATATAACATGTCAAAATTTCACCAATATACATGCTTGCATGTGAGAGACAAAAAAGTAAAATACGTGCAAATTTTGTGCTCTTTCTTTTTGTTGATTTTGGGCAGATTTTTTGTCTTCTTGTGCAGAGTATAGTACAATGTATTATTGAATTTCACAAGCACTTAGACCATATGCATGTATATTAATGTAAAAAATAATAAAAAATCAAACATTTTAAGCACCAATTTCAAGAGGTTAAAAGAAACATGCGCCAATGATGTGTCTGCTTTAGTAATCGTTTGACTACACGCATAGTGATACACTTGATGTAGTCGAAGGTCTTGGCTACACTGCATGTATGAGTGTAATCAAACGGTTCTGCCTATCCATGAGGGCCAGATTCGCAAATAAGTTTTCTGAGGGCACTATAGTGCGTTTATGAAGTGTAATCAAATGGTTCTGCCTACGCATGAGGGCCAGATTCGCAAATAAGTTTTCTGAGGGACAATAAAAGGATTAAGTTTCCATAAGGATCATTTTTCATGAATCTACTATATCATTATGCTTCCTAGGGGTAAAAGACTTCACAATCAATTGAGTTGTCCAATTGGAATTAGGTCACCCGATTTTGACCAAGTCAACAATTTCTAAAAGCTGTCATTCAATTCTTTAATACTAGTATACACTATGTGCTTCCTAATTTTTAAGTCCTTACAATTAATTGAGGTCTTCAATTCAGAACTTGGTCACCTGATTTTGATCGGGTCAATAATTTGTCAAGGATCTCTCCATAATTTTGAAGCTCTTTTATTTGATTGAGATATTCAAATTTGAATTTGGTTTACGATTTTGATCGGGCCAACGATTTTTCAATCAACACCAACCGGTTAGAAAAACATATCAACCCCGTGCACCCTCTTACCACCTAGAGAAAAGAAGCGCCACCATGTGATGATACTATAACACCAATATAATACATGTAGGCACCGACGTAGAAATTTACCCATAAAAGTATTAGCTGATTAGCGCATAATACAAAATCACACCAGGAAAGGCCGACCAAATAACCGCATATAAATAAACATAAAACACAGTCCATCATCTCCCCCATCCGCCAAACTAAATATTTCATCAGTTCCAAAATACAACGTTATTAGTTCTTTGGAAAAGTCAAATTTCTTTAACTTTGATGAAGTTTAGAACCAAAAATATCGACATCCTCAATATTAGGCCAAAAAATTATGAAAATACATTCATGATGAATTTAATAACACCAATTTTGTATTTTGATTTATTTCTTCATAATTTGATCACACTTAAATATGTTGGACTTTTCAAAAAATAATACACCTTATATTTTAAAATAAAATGAGTATTTTTTTCTAAGAATTCGGACAACACCAATGGCGCAGTAAAGCATGCCGAAACCTTATAGTAGGAAAAGTATGCAACTGCAATAGAAAAATAGTTTATCTAAAAATGTCACATCTAACCTTTCACAAATATATAATGCAGCAACAAGAATAAAAAAAAATTAGGACAGAAAAAATAGACCACAAACAAAGTGAATATCGGGTTAGATGTGACATAACTATGTCACATCTGGATGTGTCCTAGACATATCCATAAAAAAAACTCTTAATCCACGGCACGTTCAAGGAAAATAGTGATTAAAGAGCATCGCAGGTGACGGATCGCGGAATTGCACGCAAAGCAGTATGAGCATCATGCATGCGACGCGATCAGAACCGGCTATACTGAGCGAGGCCGAGATACTCCGCGGTCAGAGGCTTGAAGATGCGGTGGGCATCGGAGTCGAGCGCGGCGGCCAGCCTCGGCCAAATGGACATGGTGAAGATCCAGGAGCCACCGCCGTGGCCTCCCGTTCCCGGGCTCGCCATGATCATCACGAAGCCGCAGCAGAGCCTCCCGCTGTCCACCCACGTCGGCATCGCTATGGCGGCTTGCCCGAAGCCGAAGTCAGTGTCGAGGCCAAAGGACACCATGGACGTCACGCTCAGCACCGGGCTGCCCAGCCCGACGGTTGCCGTCTCCACGTACTTGCCTGGACCCTTGCCCTTGCGCTCCTCCACCCAGTCCACCAGCTCCTGGAAGTGCTCGGAGGTCGCCGTCGCCCTGATCGACTGGCGCACCATCGACGCGACCTCCGGGAGCGGCCGCCGCTTGATCGCGTCCACGCTCGCCTCCGCCACCGCGAACGACGTGACGTTACCGACGTAGCTGCGCATAGCCGCTTCCTTTTTGGCGAGACACGGCCGGCCGTTCACCCACCAGCCCATGCGGCACCTGTCGTCCGACGACCCCACCACGCCGGCCAGGACCTTCCACAGGTACGCGCACGCCGCCTCGACGCGGCTCGCGCTCGCGCCGCGCTCCTCGCTGGCGCTCGCCTGCACGCGCAGCATGTCGAGGTCCCGCTGCTCGACGTAGTAGGTGCGAACGACCAGGGAGCTCCCGGCCGTGAGTGCGTTGACGAGACGCTCGCTCTCAAGCGGGATGAACACCTCTCCGAGCCCGCCGTACGACGGCGCGGCGCGAGGGCGGAATATGGAGCGGTCGTGGTTCGGGGCGGCGGCGGCGGCGATCTTCTCGGTCCCGGACCGCGCGAGCTGTGACCAAACGTCGACGATCATGCACAGCGTGCACCCGTCCAGGAGCACGTGGTTGGTGCCCCACGCCACGGCGAACCCGCCGCAGGCGAACGACACCAGCTGCACAGACAGCGCGACGCCCGCGTCGTACTGGACGGGGACGCCGAGCCTCGCCAAGGACGCCTCCAGGCTGCCGTAGTCCAGGCGCTCCGCGCCTTGATTGTCGCAGTGCACCTCCGGGAGCCCGGAGTGCGGGTTGGCGACGATGCGGCCGGCGAGGAGGAAGAAGTGGTCGAGCAGGTACGGCAGCTTGGCCTCGAAGGCGGCCACGACGTCTTGGAAGCCCAGGCCGTCCGAGGGCCGCGGTAGGCGCAGATCATCGCGATCGGCATCGTCTGATACAGCAGGTCGAGGTTAGAGACAGCCAGCACCACGCCGGGGCGCGCAACGGACGGCTTGACGATGCTTTTGCGAACGATACGGACGCGTGAAGGATCGCCGTTTGCCATCTCTAATTCCTCGTAAGTGTGGAGGTTAGTCTACAATGGTGACAAACTCGAAGCTTACAACTCCTTTCCTAGTGTAACTCAGCTGGTAACCTACTGTATGTACGTCTAGAGTACTCATAAATGTGTGCCGTCAACAACTGGTGCCACGGATAATTAACTAGTCTTCTAAGTGGTTGCGGTGCAAGTTGACCTCGGAAAGTGTAAGTCAGCTCTTTTGCTCTTTTGTTAGGCTCACTGCAGGAAAAGCACATGCCATGTGTTTCTCGATACACCGAGCATTTTGTATCGGCCACTTGGCTTATGATCGTATAAGGGCGTGTTTGAATCTTCTCCCGCGCCACGCTTCACAAATTCCTGAGGCGGATTCGAACCGAACGAAATATCCCCAAGAAGCTACCTTCAGGAAGCTACGATCGATCGCAGTACAAAAACGCAAAGCACGGTCGGCCGGGCTCCACCAACACGAAAAGTTGTCGTTAGCCAATATTAGAATGGAAGTGCCACCATGAAGTGAAGCTAATTGAATCGGCATGCTCGCCCAAACATATCACTTGTCATTCCCTCGATCGAATCGGTACGGGTAGTTCCCTCAATGTCTAGCCCAAACTGGCGCCCAACCAGGGCTGCAACCTCCCAACTGGGCTTTATTGATGGGAGAAGCTACCCACCACGCGTAAAGTCATTTTGCGCGGTTAGGTCATGTACCGGTAGATCTGAGGTCATCCATTTTTTCTGATATTCGTGAAACTGTATGGCCCACCTAGATGTATAACACCAATATATTTCTTGTTTATTTATTTTTAGCAAATCAGTGGCAGCTTAGTGGACTCCAAAGTACACCTTTTGTCACGGACAGTACGCATGCAGAACTCTCCTCTCACTCTAGCTGCCGAACTAATCCATAGACTTTATTTCCTCTTAAACAATTTAAATCAACCATATCTTTTAAACTATAGACTCATATTTTTAACTTTTTTTTATAGATTTGGACTCCTCGCGTCAAGAACTTTAAAACTAGACCAATTTTGGATATATTTCAAACACATTTAACTTTCGACGTTTCACATTTCATATGTGAAATAAACACTAGAAAATCTGAAACTAACCTATTTCACTAGAAATATGCGAGAATAACATTTTTCACATAAACATATTAAACCTGAATATGAAACTCAAATGTCAACTTGTGAAACTAATTAATTGGAAGTGTGTAACATTTTTATTTTAAAAGAGTAAAATAAGTTATTTCATAAATGTGCAATTGAAATAGATGTGATTTTTGTGAAAGAAGCCGGTGAAAAGTAAATTGCACCTACTGAAAGTGAAAAAATATGTGAAACTAAATTCTCAACTTGTGAAATTGAAAATTATGAAATGTGTAATGATTTACTTTAAAACAATAAGATATTCCTTTTCAATATTGTGAAATTGAAATAGATGTAATTTTTGTGAAACAAGCTAGTGCAAAGTGACATGTAGGTTCTGAAAGTGAAACTGAATGTCAACATGTGAAATTGAAAATTTTGAAATGTGTGACAGTTTATTTTAGAAGAGTGAAATATGATTATTTTTACAATAATGTGAAATTGAAATAGATGTGATTTTTGGGAAACAAACCAGTAAAAGTGAAATGTAGGTTGTGAAAGTAAAAAACAATAAGAAACTAAAATGTCAACTTCTGAAACTGATTATTTGGAAATATGTAGCGTTTTCTTAAAGAGTGAAATATGTTATTTCAAAATTGTGGAACTGAAATATATGTGATTTTTGTGAAATGTGGCTTTTGAAAATGACAATAATATGAAACTGATTATTTGGAAATGCGTAACTGTTTATTTCAAATGAGTGAAACATGATATTTTAAAAATATGAAATTGAAATAGATGTGATTTTTGTGAAACAAGCCAGTTAAAAGTAAAATATGGGTTCTGAAAATGAAAATGATATGTAACTGAAATGTTAACTTATGAAAATGATTATTTAAAAATGTGTAATAGTTTATTTCAAAAGAAAGAAACATGCTATTCCAAAAATGTGGAATTGAAATAGACATCATTTTTGTAAAACAAGAATATGAAAAGTCAAATGTGGGTTCTGAAAATGAAAACAATATGAAACCGAAATTCATCTTATGAAACTAATTGTTTTTTAAACATGTAACAATTTATTTGAGAAGAGTGAAGTATATTTTTTCAAAAATGTGGTATTGAAATAGATATGATTTATGTGAAATATGTTTCATGAATTTTCAACTGATTTAAAATGTATTCAAGATCGGTCTTGTTTTAAAGGTCTTTGCGACATGAGTTCAAATACATAAAAACAATTAGAATCAGATTTTTGGTTTATGGGATATGAATGATTTAAGTTACTAAAGGTGAAATAAATGGATGAATTAGTTGGTGTGAAACGTAGTAGAAAACAAAACAATTCGCCCTAGGATCACCCAGGAACAATATGAAGATGCATAACGAGTTGTAATCAACGATTGTTACCGACTCCGGGAGTGCAGCGCAAGTAGACGAGTGAGTGTAGATCGTACTTGGAGTCCCTCGAACATCGATGACGATCCCACGAACCGCCCTAGAACGATCCCTCGAAAACAAGACCGAAAGCACATCCTCTCTACCTAGTTGCAAGTGTACGATCTTCACGATCCGGTAGCGCTTCGCCATGCAGAGCTAATCATCGACAGAGAATTAGAGGGGGGGGGGAGTTTACAACCACATGGGGCTTCTAATTATCAGGATTAGAGGTGTCTAGGGCTCAGTCTAATTAATCAACTAGTACCAACTAGAACATGCACTAGATCAATTAGAGGAGGCTCCAAAACTTGTATATCTCAATTGGGCACCAAACCTCCAATATATATAGGTTGGAGGGGAGAGGGAGGGCTGCCACCAAGGAGGGAAGCCCTCCTTGGGGCGTGCAACTAAGGAGAGGCGTAGTAGGACTCCTCCCCTACTCCTGTTCAACCCCCTTCCTTAGGAAGGGAGGCACTTTCCCACTTGGGCCTTTTTGGCCCAAGTTTCCTTCCACATCTTGGGCTTATTAGGCCATTGATATGAAATTAAATATATATTTGTTCTAAACATTTTTAGACCATTATATATATTAGGCTTATTAGGTCTATTCTGCTAATATTAGCAGAATAACTATTCTGCACACCACTTTCGCACTGCACGCTGAACGCAAGTGCACTGCATCTTCTTGACGACGAGCACTACAATATAGACTAGTGAACTTCTCGTCGAAAAAACTGCACGCGTTATTTTTTCGGTACTGTTTTTCGCTCTAATTTTTTAACTGTTTATCGGAATGAGGCGTGTAATATACCGTTGAAAAGCTATGGATTAGGCGCAACTTCGAAATTTTGAACACTTTTCGAGATTCCACACGGTTTAAGAGCAGTTTTGAAAATGGTGCGGCGGATGACGAGTGGCAGCGAGCGTTTTTTCGCGTTTTTTTAAACCGCTTGTCGGAATGAAGCAAATGATACGCCATTGGATAGATATCGTCGAGGCGCATCTTTTCCATATATAAATCCTTCTCTAATTCATTACGGTTTAAGAGCAGTTTCAAATTTACTAAATTGCGGAATTCTGTTTTTCAAGTTTTTTCAAATTTTTTCAAATTTTCGGTACTGTTTTCGCTCCAGTTTTTGAACCGTTTATCGAAACGAGGCGTGTGATACGCCGTTGGAAAGCTACGAACGAGGCGCAACTTTCATATGTTGAAATATTTTTGAGATTCCTTGCGGTTTTAAGTTAATTTTAAAAATCGTGCGGCGGATGACTAGTGGCAGCGGCCGTTTTTCGTGAAATTTTTGCAAACCGCTGGTCGGAATGATTCAAACGATACATCGTTGAAAAGATATCGACGAGGCGCAACTTTTTCATGTAGAACACTCTCCCTAATTCTTTACGGTTTAAGAGAAATTTTGAATTTACCAAAATGCGGACACTTTGTTTTTCGCGACACCCAAATCGACGTGGGTACTTCATCCGACTGAAAATCGCACTGCATCACACGTGTAAGAGAAGTGCATGGTTTCTTTTTTGTGGGACGTAAACTTTTGAAGACGAAGAAGAAAACCGCACTGCTTTTAGACAGAAAACCGCACCTCATCAGACGCGCTAGCGGACTGCATGATTTCTTTTTTGTGGGACGTAAATTTTTGAAGACGAGAAAGAAAACCGCACTGCTTTTAGACTAAAAGACGCACTGCATCGGATGGGCAAGCGAGCTGCATTTGCTGTTTTTTAACACACAAGTGCAATTTAATTTTTTGAAAGAAGTGAACCACAACATAAATCAAAGCGAGCTGCATGAATTTTCTTCTTGTTTTTTAAAAAAGTTTGAAGGCATTTTGGACTACACGACTGAGGCCAGTGATTCAGTGAACCTGCATGAAAGTGTACTGATTTTTATAATAAAAATTTGCATAGTGAGCCATACATATTTTATAAAGCGAACCACACAGATTTTTAACAAAGTACAATACTTTGAAAAGATGTACTTCTTCGGTTCACC